GATAATTATTATCACTGCAATGATCACATTAATAAATATCATGATTGCCTGTGGACTATGGCTTTGCTTACCTCTATATTTCTTTACCACTTCATCAAACCCTGCTTCTTTAAGCCATTCAACCTCCTGATCGCACTCTGTGAACACAACACATTAAAGAAATTATCTTTCAATATTTTTAAATTTTATATGTTACTGTAATTGTTATACTTTATGCACAAAATTTCACCTTAATTAAGTTTATGCAGCAATTATGGGATAATTTTGAAGAGAGAAAAAACATGCATAGTATTAATACAAAGTTTATCAACCTAAAAATAGCAAACTAAGACACTAAATGTACATGTAGTCAGGGCATGAAAAAATTATAAAATATTCACCTTTGCCAAAAGAGAAACAAAAAAATGAAAATCTAGCCATACAATCCATATTAAGTACTAGTTAAGTTATTCAAAAGTATAGGAAGTTAGTGTATATAACATTTTTTTGTAAAAACAAGTATGTTCAAATACATGTATAACATCAATTATTTAAAAAGGAAGTAGATGTCAATTTCTGGAATAATTTTTTTTTATATATCCAAGACAGACCCTCATTTCATTACTTCATTTTTCGTTTATAASATTAGATCTCACACCACAATTCAAATAGTTCAATAAACATTATTATTAAAAAATGATTAAAATTATAAAGGAAATTTTAAAAATTGAGCAAAGATTTTCAGGCTAAATGGGACTTTGTGAAAGTCTTACAGAAAGTATTTTTTTGGAACAATTCTACATTAATTACAGTGTGGGGTTTTGTGGACATCAATTAATTCAAAAAAGCATGATTCAAGATGTCAGCCATGTTCGACATCAATATTTTTTAAAAGCATTGTTTTTTGCTTGCAACAAAATAGCTCTCTGGAATCGCTAACCACCGTTTCATAAGTTCCAGCCCAAGTCTGTATTATTGGTTCTTGTTTTTTTAACATTTTTATTGAGAAAAACCAATAGATAATTTTTTTGTCGTGTTTTAATTTTACAAACAATACCTACCCCCAGCGGGCTCTTTTTCCTCATGTTCTTCCTCAGATGGCTGAGGGGATCTACTTTCTTCCACTGCTCTGAATTCTTTCCAGAATTCATCCAACTGGTCTAGCCCTGGAACTGGGCGACTTTTAACCCGCAATGCCATTTGGTCCTACATTTAAATAGCATTCAAGCTGTGAAAAAAAAAACATGAGACAAAATTATCAATGGACAACTGTTGACCACCAGCAAGCACAGAGTTTGTGATTGAATTTGTATTCACATACTGCAAGGAATTTTATAATGCTTTAAACGTAACCATGTACTTAATTGACTGAATGGATTACCAAGGGGATCAAATACCATTGGCCTTTTCTGAAATAGCATGACGCTTTGCATTGTGGTCTAGATTCGGTACAAACATCTTTTGTTCATGTGGCCAAATATGGCATTGTTTGTACTGAAACTAGACCACAATGCACCATGATTTCGTATCTCAGAAAAGGTCTATGAGCAAAGGAAAAATAGACAATTGCATTTCAATAACAGCAGGAAGAAGAAGAAAAATGTCTGTATAGTCAATAGACCTCATCCATAAACAAGCAACAACTGATAGAAATGATATCTTTGCACGGGAGATCAAATGACCGTTTACCAGACACCATTTTGAATATTTTAGAAGGTTTATCCCCTGACAGTAAGTGTAAGGGCTCTGTTCTGAGGTTGTCAATCAAATGATTCACAATACAGATATTGGTGCAAAAGCCATTCTGCCAAGCTCCCTTGATCATTGCACTACATTTACTTAATAATCCAGTTTCGAATTCTCCAATGCTCTGTGTTAGCCTCATTTGTGCACAAAATATTCCTAATTGTGAAAATAAAAGTGTGAGATTTCAAATCAATTCTATTGTGACGTCTTTCTTTTCAAATTCCATACGTTTTCTCGGGCTATCAATGAAACAAAAGAATATGTTGCTTGGTTTTGAGGCTAACACAGAGCAAACCAAAACTCGAAATCGGAGTATTTTATGTGAAGTTCTCAAATTCATTAATAAATCATAATTAAAGGTAAATACAGTGGAAAAAATCATTGCCATGACTGCATTTTTATATAAGAGAGATTTGTCCTTACTTGAATACAACTTTAACATTGCTTTTCTTATCACAATAGATCTTATCTTGAATTTTTAAACAAAATATGCTTTAGCTTATGTTGCCGAGCAGTTTTTAAGCCAATTATTGTCTCTACTCACATTTCATATATTACTTAAACTTTTGAAGAGAGAATTATTAGTTAGTCCAACATGAAAACCCATATTTTCAAAAAGATGTAACTATGTCTCTATTGCTGCAGATGAAAACAATTGATGCGGTATTATTTTCTGCTAAATTAATAAGGAAATTGTCTTATAAATTAAATTGTGGTTAAGTTACAAAATCAAGATTGTGGACATCTTTAAAAAAAACTACAATGGCTGAAGTTCTTTTGAAATGATATTGTCCTTATTTAAGAATGGCCTTTGGGAGAACACTAAGATGGCCCTACACACAGGAAAGTASTAAAAGACCAGTCCATTAGGTAAGTAACTCCTATTGTTTGCCAAAATGCCTTTGGGAGCTAGCTAGAACTTAACTCTGTACAACAGCCATAAAAATCCATATGATTCAAAATGAAGGTTTATAAAATATTAATTTTTTTTTTTATTAATTTTATACTTTAGCTTTTTTTCTACTTCATTATATAAAAGGTCTTTCTCTATTTTGCACTAATTTATGACATAAGATCAATAAAAAAATTAATAAAAATTAAAAAAAATCCATTTAATTGCTCCAATGCTAGTGAATTCRATACAGTGGATTTCACTTCAGGATAATTTTTTGCATGTTTTTTGAAGCAACTTGTCACCTAGCTGCTAATGAAATACTCCCTAATTRATGTACACAAAATTGACACAAAATAAATTCACTTTGTCTTGTCTAAAGGTATCATGTCAATCAAAACAATATTCCCCGTGCAAACAAATGGGCAGCCAAGTAATTCATATCTCAGCTCAAGCACAGAAAGCACCAATGATGCTCCTACTTAAAAAAAATAAAGTGACCATGGGTGTCTCTTTTCTCTGCTGTAAACACGTTGTAAGGTAGAGAGCTGAAGAGAACATGAGTAGAAGTACATTGTAGTGTTTTTCTGACTTTTTGAGAACTCTTCATCAAAGTCACTATGTTTATTTATCAAAAAACAAAGGGAAAAAATAGGCTGTTATATAATTATAGGGGCTGGGAAGATTGCAATATATTGCCGAAATTTTGGACTCCTTCAGCCAAAGGCTCAGGCTTGGATATTGAAACGAGGGACCCCCAGACTTGGCAAGGCTCRGATTTTACCATTCGATACCYCTAATTATTTCTTTTATGATATTTTTTGAKWTTACTTCAAATTTGSATGCAGCAAACAATACTTCTCTGCTCTCTTATATACAATCCATGTCAATGCAGTTGCCGCCCAATGTRAGCGAGTGTTATATCCTAAAGAGAAGAAACGTAGTAGACTAATTGCTGCCAATGCAGTTACCAATTGCACTACATTGCAGTAACATAATTATATTAACTACCTAAAATTGATTAATTACTAAATGCAGGGTACATTTAGTTTTCATAGTCAGACGACCTATAGACTACCTTTAGGTAATCTAATTATAATCTTTAATTAGTTGATTTGATTAGTCTGTAGGTTGCCTCCACATTGCGTTGCTGACCGAATGTGCCTGAGCAAGCCAACTATGCTCTTTGCAGCAATAATGTATATAAATCCATAGCTTTCTTTATGCAGATATTTCTGAATATTCTTGCAACAAACATTTATCAAATTCCCATACTTATATCAATTATAGCGGCCTTGACCTTTTTCATGATCATACCAAAATACTGACTCATTAATCCATGTTCCATTAAGATTTCTAGTAATATACTTTCTGGAAATGTACTGACCTTTGCAAGGTATTATGCGATGATTTATTAAAGAAATATGAAGTAATTTGGAAACACAAAGCCTACCTACAGAGCCATTATTAAAATTACAAGAAATTTCATGTTGAGCTGAACAAATATGAGTCATCTGTTGAAGTTCTTGAAGCGTGAATTAAACACAAAGGAGTACAAGACTTAGTTGGTATTTTCAATTACTRAAACAATATATAAGTTTGAAAGTACCTATTAATGTAATGGGGTTTTTGCGACCTTTCTAAAAAAATATACTTTTTAAGGAAGTCAATCATGTTTTAATACAATTCAATTAGTAATAACAACATTCATACTATTAAAAAGAATCAAAGACATCGAGTTGAAAAGTTTTGATATGCATCGTTGCCAGAATGAATATTAAGTATAATATTCAGGTAGAGTCTGTTTAATAGAAACGGCAAATTTTGTTATTGATTGTACAAATATTGAGTTTTAATCGAGGAAAAAATCGTCAAAATCGTTATCCAAATTCAGGTTTTAGTGTAACTAAGACCGTTTAAAAGTGCATGACGGCAAAAAGTTGAATTATCATTATCAAAAATATGACAATTGTTGATAAATTTAGGATAAAATTTTACAAACAGCTASTTTACATGTAGCTGAGACCGCAGAGCTCCTCTTTGCTAGTTTACTGTACAGTAAAAGTAAGTTCCTCACATGTGTTTGAACTGATTGAGAGAAAAAATATACACTTACACTTAAAATACTTAAAAACGATTTAAAATCAAGTTCACTACACTATATTAGCTTCGAGCCGTACAAGCGCCCGCTCCGGGCGAGTAGAATCATCACGAAAAGTGATAAACATTGCTTAGAACAAACTTAACTTATTATTAATACTGCGAAAACGAAATAACATAAATCATACAAGGTTCATACGGATTTTTTCAGAGGTTTTATGGAAGTTTACGGTCAATTCGTTTGATTTTGRATTGCTCCGAGCATTAAGGTAATTTGAGGGGGACAGTCGGCCGGGACTAGCCGTCTAGGCTGGCAAAATTTCAGGAACACATTGTAATCAAACATATTTGATAATTTATTGAAATGCTACTTAGGAATAATTCGCATAGACTACACACAGTGTCCTTCTGCATTTAATTGTRCATGTTCTAAGCGAAGTTTTCGCATTTTTTGAGCTGTTTAAAGCATTTGTTTGGACACAACGATAAACGCGTCAAGACACCGTCCTTCACATTACAAAACAAAAACATGGCGACTTTTTAGCCATATTTAAGCCCTAGACACAAATAAATGTCATAACTTTGAAGACCTAAGAGAATTTTCTTGCCACACAAATATGCAAAACAATTATTTTTGCTTTGCAACGAAGACTTTGCCGTTTTACTCTGACATGAAATCCACAAGAGTTGCTCTTACAATACGACTTTACACAAGGCAAACTGCGTGGCCGAGAAACCCTACTTACCTCACAAATTGTCCCTTGTGCACTCCTGGATATAATTGCATATAAACGTTCAACCTTAGGAATGATTTGTCAGAGATACCCTGCAGAACATCACCGGGTTTCGCACTTTTTTTACGTTTGTTTTCGACCCTTAGTTGGGCAATCAACTTGATCGAACAAATATGGTAAGTCACGTGACCTAATATGTTATGGGAGGGGAGGGGCGGGGTATTACTCGGGCTTCTTCTATGGGTGAGAATCTAAAATAGGAAACTTCAAAAGAAGAAGGAAAAAAAGAAAGAAAGAAAGAGAGAAAGGGAGAAAGATAGAAAGAAAGGGAGAAAGAAAGAAAGAAAGAAAGAAAAAAAAGAGGAAAAGACAATAAAAAATAAATCAATAAATAAATAGTCTCTTTTAACAGCCGCAACTTCCGGTCTCGTTATATTTCCTCCCCGGCTGTTAAAAGAGGCTAATAAATAAATATAGTGCATGTTAAATCCAGGGACTTATTGAAGAGGTCGTGAGATTGTTATCAGATCGCTAGAAGTTTTTTTGTGAGGAAACAATTCTATTTTTGAAAAACTACCAGTACATTTTTATATATACAAATCAGTGAAACTTTCGAATATTCGGATGAAAGGTTTTGTCGTTGGGGTATACTTTGTTCTGGAATTTCTACTTTAGAAAATTGGAGTCTCTATAATGAAATGTATAGCAGGCTAATGGAGTGATGACAGTGATCAAATAAACTAAACGCCGGGGACAGGCAATCAAATTTTTTGCTCCTTTTTTGGAAAAATCGATACTGGGACAACAATTATATATTTCAAGTAACAGAACAAGAAAATTGCAGAAAAAAATAATCAGCGTATGATACTTTTCGACAAGCTTGTAAACACGAGCAAGGCGCTTTGAGTATTTTTTCGATTGGCTGACGGAATGTTTCGAAAAAAAGGTCACTAGGCAATCGATTTTTCTTTCCATAAAGCCATTTTTGAATTATATTCGTCTGTTAAGACCCTGCCTCCTCAGTTTTGTAAAAGAAGCTGATAAGAAGCTAAAATAAGCGAGATTTGCTTACCTACACTTATGTTCAACCTTTCAAGTCATTGTAATGCTCGAATAATAAAATTCCATCCTTTCCTACCTTGGGTCAACTAATCGACTCGGGAATATTAGCTAACAAATTAAACTGATTGTAATAAAGCGATTTTTCATTAATGCTTTTTTAATGGCGATAAACAAGACGGAATAACAGTGTTGAACGATCAGACACTAATATAAGAAACATTGATAATACAGACGGGCATTTCCTGTACAGTAGTTTAAAGTGTTACTTGCATGAAAATGCCCTTATTTCAAAACTTCAAGGAATAGACAAATATATGACTCATTTATATCTGTTAAAAACAATTGCGGGCAAATATTTTTTTAGGGATTGTTTGTTATCAAAGAGAAAAATTGATTCAAAAGATGGAAGAGCAAAAGGATGGAGTAGGCCGACGTCATTTACTCCAGCATTTTTTKCCAAAATTATAAGGATTTGTATCAATATCTTCTTTTTTTTCTTTTTAATACAAAACTTTTTATTATACTACAAACAAATATCCATACAATACACTACGGCAACTAGTATCCGATAAAGATATGGACTTTACACTTGCTATTAGATTTGTTCAGTTTTCGCCTTAAAACTTTATTAAAAATAGTTAAGTAAAAAAAYTTTCCGCGATGCATACATTACGAGCATCGATGATAGACCTATACTAAAATGAATAAATTACCTCGTTGCTGCACAAGAGGAAGTGGAGGAAAACATGCAACCTTTTTTTTACCCCCACCCTCCCATCCCATGCACTGCCACCATTGCCATCCACCAAATCTCTCTATTCGCAAATCTAGGTCAATCTAGGGCGATATGACAATGAATGCAGTAAGTGCAGAATTGATTACTGTACTCAAGGTTTTCAGGATCAGATGGAAACCTATCTCAACATGATCTCATCTAAACTTACCAAAATATGCGCTTTCGGTTTATTGGAAAGAAACACCCTCATCAAAAAGAAGGCTAGCAAACTGGAAACGTATGTCACACTAGGAGGCAGGGGAATTCTATTGGCCATTACGAATTTCAATAAGAGACKGGGAACGAGTATGGAGATAGTCCACTTATAAAACAACTTAAYCTCGCCGCATGAAAGMSCATACTACAATTAGGGTTATTTTCATGTCTGAGCGTATTTGCAAAAATAAGAGAGAATATATGGGTTTTGAGTACGATGATCAAGAGCGTCATCATTCTTTGTTATTATAATTTCGAGCCTTAACCTTGCCACTCTGAATACGCTCAAACTCAGAATCTATACTAGAATTTTAGTATGCTCTTTCTTGTACTGTTATCTTATTTTTTTYSSYTTTTTTTATTGCTTTAAACAGTATCGAGTTGGTAACTAGTCACCAGTCCCTTTTTGAATTTCGTAATGGTCAAAATGACCCTTACCGCTATTGAATCGTA